AATGATAGATTTGATCATCATAAAGCAAAATAGAATACATCCTCAACTGCTGAGGAGGTAGTGTTAAATCATAATTGCTTAAAAAGGCAAAACGAAACCTGGGCCATGCACTCTGTTTTGCTGCATCCCTGCTAAGAATGCCTAAGCTTAACCATCAGTTTATTTGAATGTATAATTTTCTATAATGTCTTCATTGAAATGCTTGTAAATATTGCATAGCACGTAGCAATATAAATATCTTCAGAGGCCAAGCTGTAGGATGTAGTCCAGTGTGGGAGACTTGGGTTTAAAAGCATTGAAGTTTGAGTCATTGGTTTCTTGCTGTTTGCAGCGTTGTCTTGGGGAGAGGGCCAAGAGTTGAGAGCACACCCACCACCAGCCTGGTTGGACCCCTGACTGCTGTTTGCTTGCATACCCTATAAGGAAAAAGGGCATTAAGATTTTTTCTGAATTTCATATGGAATCACCAAAAACCCCGAATAGCCAAAGCTCTCCTGAAAAAAAAAGAAGGGAATGGAGGCATCAGACTCCCAGACTTCAAACTATACTACAAAGCCATAATCATCAAAACTGCATGGTATTGGGAACAAGAACAGACATACAGACCAATGGAATCGAATAGAAAATCCAGAAATAAACCCACAGATTTATGGTCAACTAATCTTTGACAAAGGAGCAAAGAATATGCATTGGAGCAAAGAAAGTTTGTTCAATAAATGGTGCTGGGAAAACTGGGTCGCTACATGCAAAAGAATGAAGCTTGACCACCACCTCACCCATACACAAAAATCAACTCAAAATGGATTAAAGAACTAGACATAAGACCTGAAACCATAAAATATATAGAAGGAAATATAGGCGAAACACTACGTGATTTGCACATCAAAGACATTCTTTACAGACACATCACCCAAAGCAGTGATAGTGAAGGCAAAGATAAACAGCTGGGACTACATCAAATTAAAGAGCTTTTGCACAGCAAAGAGACAATAACAAAAACAAAGAGAAACCCCACCAAATGGAGAACATTTTTGCACCCAACACTAATGATAAAGGACTGATCACAAAAATCTGCAAAGAGCTGATGAGACTCAACAACAACAAAGAAATAATCCAGTCAAAAATGGGCAGAAAGCTTAAAAGAAACTTCTCTGAAGAGGAAATGCAATGGCCAACAGGCATATGAAAAAATGTTCAACATCACTTGTCATCAGGGAAATGCAAATCAAAACTACCATGAGATACCATCTTACACCAGTGAGAATGGCACATATTAAAAAAACTAGCAACAACAAATGTTGGCGAGGGTGTGGAGAAAAAGGAACTCTTCTGCACTGTTGGTGGGAGTGCAAACTGGTCCAACCACTGTGGAAAGCTGTATGGAGATTTCTGGACCTACTAAACATAGAGCTTCCATATGATCCAGCAATTCCACTCCTAGGTATTTACCCAAAGGACACAGAACATCAATTCCAAAGAACACCTGCACCCCTATGTTTATAGCAGCACTATTTACAATAGCTAAGCTTTGGAAACAACCCCAAATGCCCAAAAATAGATGACTGGATCAAGAAGATGTGGTACATATATACCATGGAATATTACTCAGCATTCAAAAAAGATAAACACATGCAATTTGCAGCAACATGGATGGCGCTGGAAGGGATCATGCTCAGCGAAATAAGCCAAAACGAAAAGAAAATACCGGATGGTCTCACTCATAGCAGGAATCTAGAAAACTTAAATAAGGGACCAGGAAAATGAATAACTACAAGAAAGTGAAAATCAAAATCAACAAAAAACTATGAACCAGAGACACTTTTAGGGGGGCGGGGGTGGAGGGGAGA